GGGTGTGGCACACTAGCTGGTGTGACAATAACAGGCAGTTGAGAAGTATGTGGGGAAATGGTAACTTTAAGAGCAATGAGATTAAATGGCTATTGCTCTGCACTGTTGATGCCCTAGAAAAAGATGATTGAAAAGCTGTAAACAATGAATGAGAAGTTTGAAAAGCTAGGTATAAAAAGCAGGTTTCACTGGTAGCTTATAAAAGGCTCTCATAAAGGAGGCCACATGGCCACAATTATTGTAATGACTGGCTAGATTGGAGGGGCAGCTGAGGGAGACCACCCTACAAAGACTTACAAAGAAGGGTAAGAGAACATGGCATTCTAAGATGCAAAATCGATGGGCAGCTGACAGGGGTACTCCTCAGCTTGTGCTGTCAGAAAAAAGATCAAAGATAAATGACATAAAAGACTAAAGGTAGTGGTCCCAATAAAAAGTCACAATCCTTTACTTAATTTCTGAACTTGCACCAGTTTTCAAACCTAGAACCCAGAAACCGAAGAGTAGGCCAGATCCCCAGGAGGAGGAACTAGGTATACCGTGATGAGGGTGTGTGGTGATGATTACCCCAGAGCTTCTGCACAGGGACCTATGGCCGTCTACTCTGGAACCCGTACACTCGGGAAAGGGCAATACCCACATATTCCCAGGACCATTGGATAGGTGTCATCGTGGCCTATTAGCGTGGAGCACAGTAGGGCTGGTCATAAATGATGTCCTGGACGAAGTCAACTTAGAGTGGGTCCCCTGGGTTCACGGAGTCACCTGGTCCACGGTCATTTCTAGGTCCATGGCCATTTGATCTAGGAATGTATAACTAGAATTCCTGTCTGGCAGTTACAATAATTCCCATATTGGATCTTTTGCCTGTGGGGAAGGCCAAATGGAGGCCTCTGAAACTGCTCCTCTGGGGGTGAAAGTAGCGGCTTGGCAAACTTTCTCTTAAAGGGCCAGATGACAAATATTTAAGGCTTTGTGGGTTTAACAGTCTCTGTTGCAACTACTGACAGGTGCTCTTGTAGCAAAGAGTACCCCCGGGCATGGCTGTGTTTCCCCAGATATGATTTGCTTCTGCTGGTGACCAGGGGGTTCTGTGTGGGGGACCACTTTGGCCTCCCTGAGGATCTCAAGTAGCACACGGAAGTGGAGGTTCCTTTCACTCTTGGCACAGTGAGCCATGCTATTGTCTATCCAGCCTCAGGTAACCCTTCCCTTTCCAGCTGCCCCAGCTCCTGCTGCTACTTCTAGTCTCAGGTGATTTTGGGGGGAGGTTAGGGAAGGATCTCTGAACACATCCCCTGTCTCTTGTGAAGCCAGTCATTCTCAGTGTGTCTTCAAGAGGATTTAGTTGTTTTGCAGCAGGAGAGTCCCTCAGCATCTGGTCAGCCATAATGTTGGAGGTGATGACCTTTGTTTAAAAAATACACTAGACAAGGATTTATTGGGTCAAATGTGCAAGACTGCATTCTTACTCCACTCACGTTCACATACATGTATTGAGCATGACTATAATAAGAGTTTTTTTAAGGTAATCATGTGCTTTAAACATTTTTTTCAAAAATATTTTATCTTTTAATTATGGAAAATCTGAAATGTATACAAAAGAAGAGATCATAGCAAAAGGAGCCTTTCTGTACTCTTCACCCAACTTCAACAATTTTCAATTCATGGCCACATTAATTTCATCTCTCCCTCCCTCCCTCCTCTTGATTATTTTGAAGCAAATCCAAGACAGCCTATAATTTTACCCATAAATATTTCAATAAGTATCTCTAAGCAATAAAGACTAATTTTAAAAAACAAAACCACAAGAGCAGGATCTCCCTAAAGATTTGATAATGTTTCCTTTATGTCATCAAATATGGTAGGGATACTAACCCTTTATTGGTGACATCAGATTCTTCCCCTAACTTTGTCATTTGTCTTCATGTTTTGCTTATGGTGTATTTTTGCCATTTAGAAGTTATTTTTATCATATATAGTCAAATACATCAATCTTTCTCCTGAGTACTTCTGGATATTTGAGTTCTAGTTAAGAAAGTTTTCCCCATTCCTGGATTTTAAATTCACTCATGTTGTTTTCTTCTAGTTATTATATAGCTTTACTTTTTTACATTTAAGTTGCCTTCCCATTTATCCTGGTGCTTGGTGTGGGGAACTGATCCAATTTTACATTATTCCTTGTAATTCTCCAATTATTCCTAACCATTAACTAAAACATACATTTTCCCCCTCATTGATTTAAGATGTCAAGTTTATCATACATTATAATCTCATATGCAATTGAGTCTATTTCTGAATTTTCTGTTCCTTTCCATTGGTCTTTCTCGCTCTACATGTGCCAATACCACACAATTTTAGAGTCTTGATAACATATTTTAATAACTGATTAAACTATAACTCCCCTGCAATGGATTCTTTTAAAAAGGTTTTCCCCTGTTATTTTGCTTGTTTTTCTTACAAATGAATTTTAAGATCAGCTTAAAATCCTCATTCTTAATAGATACAGATTTTTTTAAATTGAAGTATCTTACTAGTTAAGTTATATTTACTATCTTACTTGCCTATATATAAATCAGTATTTCTCAATGCACTGCAGTGATAGTTATAGAAACCATGATTATATAATATTGTATCCCTTATTTGAACAATTTCTAGTATTTGTCTTTGCACTAAGCTACAGAAACTATTAACTGAAGCAGAAGGTACTTCACTAATGGCCTCAGTACAAAATGTGTGGTTGTCCTGGGTGTAAGGAATTCACATTTCACCGACGTGTAAATAAATCCCTCCTTGTTGGAGATCATGTCCTTTCAGTGAGATTGCACAGAGCTGGTTACTTAGTGGCTACTTAGTAAGCATTAGGTGGCTTTTGCATGGCAAATACACATCCTCATTTTATTGTTTATATTTACAAAGAACTTACCAAAAGCAACGGACCGTGCTGAGTGCTGTGCAAGGAGTAATGATGAGTTACATGAAGACTAAAGAGCTTACCTTAGGAAAGGGTAGCTGTTTACTTCAGTAATTATCCCACAAGGCTGGTAACTCAGCAGAGATGTGTAGATGAATGCTATGGAAAAAGAAAAGAAATTAGCTCCAGCTGGAGGACTGAGCAACCAGTTAGGCTGCCAGAATCTCTTTTCTTATGAGAATGAATCAAATAAGAACACAGCTATTGAGGAATCTAACTTGAATCTAGCTTGTGTAACTGGTTTCCAACAAGAGAAAAGAATGCATGTTTCCTTGTAAAGCAGTCAGTTCTTCCTTCCATATTTACTTACTGGCATGTAGATGTGCCCTGGAAAAGCACATGTTTTTGGCTGGTGAGAAGGTAATGGGTTACTTGTAAGTCATTATCATAAAGAAACTCTTCCTCCAGAATGATATTCACAAAGGATTCCTCCTCTGGATACAAGGCACACCACTGCCTGATTACACCTTGGGAAGAGTTGGTCCACTCTAATATAAGAGGAGGGTGCAGCTCAGGTATGGTTTTAAACCGAAATGTATTTCTGATGGCAAAACGAAATGAACTGCGAAAGACAAAGCGAAGCAGAGACATCGACTTTCTAGGGCTGACCCGTGAGCCCAGGCAACAACTAGCCATGAGCTCCCTTTGTTTTTTCTCTTCAGACAACCTCTTCGTACCCTTAGCTGTGTGTCCAAAAAAGATCGCCCAGCTCTTGAACCTCTGGTGTGGAGGTGAGAGGTCTGGGGAGTTTTGTGCTGAAGGAGTGGTTTCTGCAGATGTGCTCTAGGGAGACATCCAGGTGGAAGCCTCTGCAGACATCTCACGGAGCCCCTTAGGCTCTTTCCAGGCTCCCTGCCTCCCGGTTCTCATCCTGCTGCTGAGTCTGCATCTGCCGTCCTTTCACTTCAGCTCACGGGAAGGCTGGCCCTTCAGGAGAGATGCCGAAAGCAGGAAAACATCTGTGAGAGGAATCCCTCAATGTCAGGCGTGCCCTTGCCCAAGAAGATGAATTCCTGACTGGTTCTCAGGCAAACAGGCTCTCAGGCAAATAGGCAGAGACACATCTCATACTACATTCCATCAAATTAAAATATCATTTTATTTATAATTTTATATGCCCAGCTATGATGGTTAATTTTACATGTCATCTTCACTGGACCACGAAGTGCCCACAATCCTGACTAATATACCAACCTTGTGATACTATTGCTCATTTTGTTGAAATGTTCAGTTTGACACAAATGATACAGATACAAATGATAATCTGATTTATTTTCTTACTATATCCTTGGAAGAGTTATAAAGAGTCAGAGAGGGTGACTTCACCAAAGGAAAAAATATCTGCGGTTGTATGTAACTGGAAATAGATGATTAGGCACATGACTCACATATTAATTTCTACTGGACCGTATTGCATCCCGTGGAACCCCACTTTCACGTGAAACAGAATCTTTTGCTTTCTGTATCTCTGTGGGGATCTGAAAGAGTTTCTAGTTGTTGTTTCAGGAATTTTTGTGGCACATGAGGTAGATTTCATTACTGAACTCTCACTAGATTTCTCACTTGAGATTTGTCAGTGATATATCATCATTCAGGCAATATATATGCCATCAAAAGATGTTACGGCCAGAGTGGCTGAATAAAAACCACAAGCATCCCATGGTCCAATGTTACTTAATGTACATTCCAAGGAAACCCCACAGTCTAGCATCCAAAGGTAATTAAAGAGCCATTCCCATCTTTAATCATGTTTTTGAAAGACCTTTTATCTTCTGGTTATTGAATGGTGTTACTTTAAGATTCAATTCACAACCTTTGGAAACCTTTCTGAGGCTCTCTTTTCCTCTCCAGTGTTCTCAAACGCCAAGAGATGAGGAGCTTCTCATTCTTTTAACTCTTCTTCCTCACCCTCTCACCAGCTCTCTTATCCAAGTCTCAGCCCCCTGGCCCTGGTCTCCACCCCACTTCCTCATACATTTCTGGTCCTATTTTTCTCCTGTTAATTTACCTGATTCTGCCCTTACAGAACCTGGAAACTGGAGTGGCAAAGAAAGAAGGCTATTTGCAAAGTAGAGGAGAAAAAGAAGTTGAGAGGACAAAAATGTAAGTCTTTTTCAAGATGAAATCTTAAAATGCTGGTCTGTATTTTCTCTCACTGTCACTCAGAGGTAGCACCTCGCCAGGGGTAGGAGCCATGTTAGCTGTTGCTTCAAGACCCCAGGGTATGTTTCTTTTTTTCTTCTTCTTTTTTCAATTGAAGTATAGTTGATTTACAATATTATATTAGTTTCGGGTGTACAACATAGTGATTCAATATTTTTATATATTAGACTCCATTTAAATTTATTACAAAATAATGGCTAAATTGTCCTGTGCTGTACAGTATATCCTTGTTACTTATCTGTTTTACACATAGTAGTTTGTATCTGCTAATCCCCTACCTCTCTCCTGCCCCTCTCTCCTTCCCTCTCTCCACTGGTAACCACTAGTTTGTTCTCTATCTCTGTGAGTGTGTTTCTGTTTTGTTATATTTACTCACTTGTTATATTTTTTAGATTTCACATGTAAGTGATAATAGAATATTTGGCTTTCTTTTTCTGACTTATTTCACTAAATATGATATCCTCCAGGTCCATCCATGTTGCTGCAAATGGCAGAATTTCATCCTTTTTTTTTTTATGGCTGAGTAATGTGTGTGTGTGTGTGTGTGTGTGTGTATTATATATATGTCACATCCATTTTATCCATTCATCTGTTGATGAATGCTTAGGTCGTTTCCATATCTGGACTATTGTCAATTATGCTGCTCTGAACGTTGGGGTGTGGGTATGTTTCTTTCACCCACAGTTTTCTGCACAGTGGCCTTCGATTGCCCATTGGAAGAAAGCTGGCACATCTCTGAGACTTTGCCAAGCTCCATCCAAATTCTCTTGTGTGTATGCTCATCCTTTTCAATGACCCAAGACACTTGGACCCTTCATCTTACAGATGGTGTGAGGCATTGACAACCAGAGGCTGTGATAGAATGGGAAAAGCCCTGTGCTGGTGCAGGCTGGGACCTCTATTGTGCATACTCCTGCCTCATTTTATTTCTAAGACCAACTCTGTGGGATGGGCAGGGGCAAATACGAATATTACTATTCTCATGTTATAGCCCACCAACCAGGCTTGGCATCTCTGATAAATGTTGGTGAGTGCTTCAAAACAGTTGGAAGAGTTGTTCAAGCTAATTGTAATTTTATTAACTCACATTAAGCATCCTGGATAATTTTTCCTTTTTTATACTAAAAAAGTCCATTTTCAGCTATGAAATAAACATCTATTTTTTCCACTAGAAATCATGCACTGTGTCTTTTAAAAAATATTGAATTTATAAGCATACTTATACTGTAATCATTTCCTGTGATTACTTTTCATTTTTATGCTAATAAAACTAGAATTTATGTAGTGCATTATTTTTCTGTTGTGCTTCTATTCTGATAAATACAGAAAAAGAAAAAAGACCCCAAAACATCTTCTGAGAAGGGCCATAAATACACCTTTTTAGCATCCTTATTAGTAAAACTGTCTTTATTCTCTCTTCTTTCTCTCTTTTTCACTCTCTTGCCTCATGAGAAACAATCTGTAGTATTTATAGATACTACATAGGTTTATAAATACATTTATATATAGAAATAAGGTAGATATGGACCTTCATTCACTAAAGAACAAATCATTCATCAGTTTCTGTGAATCTCCTAAATTGACAGCCTGTTCAAATACATGACCTGACCTTTACTTGGTCTGTGAAATCTTGGAGGTTACAGACTCACCTCTCAGAGAACTGATTGCTCTGATGGACACAAATTACCTTTGGGCAACATTAAGTGTATAAGGGAGACACTTAAATGCACGACCCTTGACAGCCGAGGAATGTACCTGAGAGGAAATAAAGAGCCGTGACCACAACAGCTCAGATGTCTGTGCTGTGAACGCTGGCCAAATGAGGTTTCTACAGACACCCCCATGTCTCATGAGATGGTGGAGGGGACAAACTAAGGGCCACGTTGAGGAGGTGGGATTTAACTCACAGTTGCTCAGCATTGTTTTTCCCACTTAAAATTTTACTTTAGTAATCAGATTTGAGGTTTTGTTTTTTCTGACCAGAAAAAACAAATCAAGTTGAAGTCTGTGGAAGAGTTTGCTTCCCTCACGAAGAGGTCCAGGAAGCTTCTGGTCTAGGTACATATATGAAGAGTAGCCACCTCAGGGAGCTGAGTTTGTCTTCAATTTTTTAAAATAACGGATGGAATAAAGATAGCATCGAGAAAAGCCCCAGACTGATAAAGATTTCTGAGAAGAGCACAGAAAACAGACTGCGTCACCCCTCCCGTAGACGCGGGCCTGCCCTGGAATCCTCTGGATGCTGCCTAACTGCCTGCTCTCTCTCACTGTTCCCTAACATTCCCCTGCCTCACCCCAGTCTTGGTGCAGTGCTGCTTCATGGCAAAACACAACAGCTACTTGATTAACTGACTCCCCAAACCCCTTTGGTCTCAAAGTGCGCCGGCATCTGGTATGTGGATCATACTTGAAAATATTAAACAATATGTATGTCATTTTTCTTCCCTGTAAACTGCGTCCTCTGACAGTCATGGTAACTCCAGGGAAGGGATGGGTAATGACCTCAGAAGAGATGGATGTGGCTGGAGCTGCTGCTAGCCCTTACGTGGCTCTTGTGCAAACTAGAACAAGGACCTTCTTGCTCTCAGGAGATACAGCCCAGGGCCAGGGCTCCTGCTGAGTGAGCAGAGGGCAGGCTGGATTTCAAATCCTGCTCGTTGTCCACATTCTGTTTGACTGCGCGTGGTGATCCCTGATATAACGTAGGACTAAACCCTGCTAAACTGGAAGAAGGAAAAAAAAAAGCTCCTCCTTCTGGTCCTCAGGGTATTGTAGGGAGGAGAAAGACAGAGGTACCAGAGGCATCAACCATGAGTCCTGATCCTTCCTCTTTGGAGAAAAACCCCAGAGGGTGAGACATTTTGGATATGATGAGGGGAAAGCCCAAAGAGGAGAACATTTACCCCTGTTCCTATTTGGGATTCTGGGAGGACACCCCCTTCAGCACATACCTTGTAGTCACTGTAAAGGGATGACAGTGTGGCTGGGCAGGGAGGGAGATCATGCTAGCATTGCTCTGCTTTTGTGTGGCGTTGCTGAGACCTGAATGGTCTGCAAGGTCTTTTGGCGCACATGGGGACTGAGAGTGTGGCTAGGGAACCTGCCAGAGGGACTCATCATCACAGGGACATAGTGACCTGCACGGAGTGCCATCCAGGGTGACCATCAAATGGAAGTCACAACCAAACTTAAGGGGATGCTGCTACCAGCGAGATACTTGGGGGTGTATCCACAGCAGAGATGTGGGTTACATGCTGGCTGAGCCAGGGCAGTCACTGCCCATTCCGGAGCCCTAGATCAGCACCCAGTGCCAGCTGGGCACCCTGCAGCCAGGGGCCATGGGCTAAGCGACCAGGCAGCAGGCAGACAGGTCTGAGGCCTCGATGCCCATCTCTGGGGTCCTCCCTTCTCTTGCCACTAGGAGGTAACACACCCTACTTCAGTTCTCCTGGACTCCATCCCCCTCAGAGAGGAATAGGACATCTGAAAAAATAGCATTTGCCTGATAAAGATTGATTTATCTAGAGAGCCTGGTTAAATTATTGGATGAGACTTTGTGGACTAGGCTGGAACTTCATGTTGTCCCCCTTAGACAGTGGGACAGAGGCTTAGAAGAAAGATTGGATCAGCTCTAGGAGATAAAGAAACTATTTTGTTTCTTACCTGGATTTGTGGACTTGGTCCCAACTTCACCCTCATCCCACATCTTCCCCCCAGCCATCACATAGCATGGGTGGAACAGGAAAACTGAGGGTTGGGGGACTTGGCCAAAACCAAGCATCTGGTTGCTGCTGAAGCTTGGACTTGAACCTGGGCCCTCTCATCCAAGTCCAGTCTCTGGTTTCCCTAAATGCCGTGAACACACTGACATGGATCTGGGAAGAAATGTTTACCCAAGTGTCTTTGGTCAAGTTCCCCGGAAGCTACCCTGAGATGAGGGTTTATGTGCAAGTTAAGTATTAAGGACTGGCTCTCAGGAGAAAGCAGGAAAGGAGCAAGGGAAGTAGGACAGGGTTGGGGGGAAGCCAGCAGTAGGGGAGCCCCACCTCAGCCTAAGCATACCTAAATCACCCCTCCATTGTCCACCTCTGAGGAAGGGAGCTGGCTTTCACACTCCAGCACCAGTCAGGCATGCACAGGCATGTCTAGTTTTCTGTACATGAACCCAAAGAGACCCTAGAAGCCCAAGGGCCATCCTCTGAAGAGGGCTGCTGGCTGAAGCTATTGGAAGCAAAGCACGGGAGGGCTGGGGGTGGTAAAGAACGAATCAGGAATCCAAGGAGATCTGGGATGACCTTGGGAGCCCCCAACTGTGTCTGCTCTCTCTCTCTTTCTCCCACTTTGTTGTTTAAGGCTACCAGCCATTTCTTGGGAAGAATAGTCCTTTATTCCAAGATTACACTCTTTCTGCTTTTTTGTTAGTCGTGTTGCTCCTTTTATGAAGACCCTGATGATCGTGGATAGTAAGACATGGTCTTGTTGTTTGAATGTCTTATTTGGGCAATAAAAGTTGGCAACTTATTTTTGACATATTACTGGTCCATGAAACCCCAAAGTCTGGGAACCACTGCAAGAGTCCACGTCACTTCTCTTTTTCGGTTGGTTTCCAAAGTACTTCCTAATCATCTCTCTGTGATTTAAAACAGACAACTAAAACAATAAAGAGTTTGGGATCCATCTCAGTCATAATTGTGTAAACACAGCTCTTCCTCCCAGGAGGGCCTCTGCAGCCATCAGCAGGATGCATTTTCCCATGTAACTTGCAGGCAGTGAGCGGGGTGAGGGGAAAATTAACCCAGAAGGAGGGTCACAGGAGCATCACCGCTCCTCCATGAATCCCAGGCTGAGCAGGACTGGCTGAGGTCACAGGTGGGGGAGAATCCTTCTACCCTCCCAATCTCACCGAGAAACCCCTAGAAGCTCCCAGGATGTGAGCGTAGGGGCGGGGGGCTACGTGCTGCAGGAGCACCAGAGAGTGGCGAGGAGGGATAATTGTGATCAGAGGGCAGTAAATGTGAAAATTAGAAGTTAGTCAGTCTGTGTCTGTTCCTGCTCAAAGAAATAAGTTGCATCACCTTAATATTCTTCCCAGTGACAAATTCTTCGAGCTGACGGTGTTTTTTTTTTTTTTCCTTCTACTTTACCAAGAATGACTGAGTTTTCCATTTGGATAAAGCTTCATGCGTTTCTCATCTGCCAGCTGAAAATTGCAAACAAGAAAATTCTGTTCGTTGGAGCAGTTCCTGGAGAGGAGGAATAGTTTCAGTTGATCAAAAGAGTTTATAGCGCCTGATGGTTTTTACTTTGAACTTTAAGAATCAAAAATTTATTTGTGTAAAGGAGTTTTGCTGATTATTCAGTTCAATTATATACTACTGACTCCAGGAAAATGTGTGACAATAAATATATTCTAATGGTCTCATTTTAACGAGTCATAATCGGTATTTCTATTTTGATTCCGTATGATTTGGTAGAAAATTTTATTTTAAAACTATGGCTTGGGATACAATTGTATGTCTAAGACTGGTTTAGTGAATTAATATTATATTCAACTAATATTTATTGTGTATCAAGTGCGTGCCGGGCACAGTTCTAGGTGCTAGGATGTGGCAGTGAACAAAACCATTAAAGCTATAATGCAGTGTTTGCCAAAGAGTTAAGCCAGCATTTCCTGTGAAATTGCCTTTGAAATAAAGTATTTTCATGGGGACAATCTAATGTTATATGATGCAGAAATTGAAAGTTACTAACAAATACAGAGTTGCTATTATTTTGTCCCTAAAGTAAAAAAGAAAGTTCCCTCCAAGGCAGAAAAGATCATATTTTAATACTGGTGTATAATAGATGAAATCTGCTCTCAAAATAAGTAATGCATTTAAATAGAAAATAATTTTTGAAGTTCATAAGTTCCCAAGTCTTCAAAATTTAAATAGCCTAGGGGTCAGCAAAAAACCCTAGATTTTATCAGCCAGATGAAGACAAGGAAATTATGTCGAGGAAAGCCCTGACTTCCTTCCCCGGGACAGAGGTGACCTGTAGATTTGACTTATAGGTTATCTAGAAAATTGTCTTAATTCTCTACCTTTAAAGATGACCTGAGAGATAAGCTAGATCACATGAAACCTATTTAGTGTCATTTGGTTCTCTGGATTTGTTAACAACATAAGGAGATTTACCATTAACTGCATCAAATCACCAGATCAGGGATTGTGAATCTGTTGAGGTACATGGTGCTGAAATCTAGAAAATCCCTAAAGAGCTTCTTGTCAAGGATGCTGGGCGGACCAGAGGGAACAGCAGGCAGGCTCCTTGCGGCAGACTGTTATGGAATGTGACCTGTGCCTTGCTACATCAGGCTGATGATGCCATCTTTTTCTCTCTAAATAGATATTAATCTGCAGTATTGTTTTCCCACATGATGCCAGTAAACGGCCTTTCCATTATTTTAGAGAGGGCCAAACTCAGTCTACAGAGGGCTTTCTAAGCAAACATGGAGTTTCATAAGAATAATAATGCTTCTCTAACCCAAAGGGATCTGCTGATGATTAATTAAAAAAAATAAGTCCTCAAAGTCACTTGTGAAGTTCCTTTTTGGGTCCTAAAGTTTAATTTAATAATAGCATTTGCTGTACACTTTCCATATACCAGACACTTCCCCAAGTACTTTACACTTATTTAATCCTCATAAAATCCTATAGCATAGATACTCCTATTTTACAGAATTAATGGGGGATTTCGAGAGGTTAAACTAATCACCCAGAATCACCTGCAGAGTAAGGAGAAGAGTCAGGACGTGGAACAGGTCCACTTGAGACCACACTGATGCTACTAGAAAATGGAGTCAAATTCCAGCATCATAAGCCAACTCCTGTTAACTTAGAGAAAATGATGGGGTCTCTTCCTCTAAAGTCAGTTCCCTCTCTCAGCTCCTCTCCCATCCCTCTCATACAGCATAACGACGCTATTATGCCAACAGTGTGGATTTCTCCGTTGAATAAACGCTCACCTAGCCAGCTGGATCCCGCACCCAGCAGCTTCCTCGTACAAATAAACATTCGCTATTTATAACATTAATTACTTGGTACAGCACAATTCTTTTAGGAAAATGTATGATGTGTGCTCAAAAAAGCATTTCTTCCCCCACATAATCATGTTAATCAAAAGAGTTGGCAAGAGATCATAAGAACATCATAAGCCTTGCATAGAATGTTAAGAAAAATAAAAATACAACTGAATTTAAAGAGGGTGTGTTCATTTCAGAGATGTTTGCTTCTTAATTGCTTCTTAATGATCATTCTTCCTTTAAGATCAAGAAGCTGTGTTTCTGATGAGGATAATGCAAATGCTACTCTTTAGTTCAACTTTCCAAGTGACTCTATAATTTGAAAATAACATTGTCAGAAAAAAAGCCCACATATCACTTTAAAGTTTTGTGTACTGTGGGTTTAGAAGGGTTTTTTTTTTTGAGTAGAGATTTAAAAGTAAATTTAGAATTTCTGAAGAAGCTTTTAGAATTTAAATGTTTTTAAGAGAAAATTGAGTTCAGTATTGACAGTTGCATAAAAGAGAAAAAGTTGAATCATTAGTTTTCAACTTACTCAATATTCAAAATACCTAAATACTTATCAACTACGGCTGGTATTTCTATAGGCAGTCATCTTCCAATTTCAAAAATATGTACATTTAGAGAATATATTATTCCATAATAATTTGCAATACTTGCCTACTTCAAATATACTCCAAAATTTCCAGCGAAGATACTTATACCCAGAATTTAAACTAAAAAATATATAGTATTGAAAAAAATAATCCCTGGCCTAGTGCTCACAGGTTTGGGGTACAAAGTGGCTGCCAACTACATGCGACCTTAGCTATATCATTTAACTCCTCAGAGCTTCACATGTGCCATTTCTAAAGTGAAGAGCTAGATCTAATGGGTCACAACCCACTAGTAGGCTAAGAAATCAAGTTATGTGATAAACTAGTGATTTAAAAAAACAAAAATAAAGAGTAGAAAGTATCTGCATTATGCAGCAAAGAAAAAACTATTATTTTATGTAACTTTTGTTTCAGATACACATACACACACTGTGTGTGGTATACTGGAATATAATGTAAATTGTATTTTATTCTGTAGATCACCATCAAAAAAGTTGGAGGAATGCTGAGGAAGATGACTTCCAGGGTGCATCCTTGACACTCATTATGCTTGTTGTCTAAGTGACATTGTGACAGAGACTGCAAACAAATGGTCAACCCCAATTAATGCTCCCCTCTATGTCATAAAGTTGTGGCTGCGTACCCAGGACTATAATTCTTAGCTCCTTTTCCTCCAAGATGGAACCACATGACTTGTTCTTGCCAATGGGTGTAAGTGTTTCTTGCACTCTTCTTCCCTTTCTGCCTTGGCTCAATACAAACGTATCATCCTTGGGGATGCAGTGTTGAATGAAGATGGTGGAGCCAGAAGATGGAAGGAGCCTGGTATTTCAAATGCTGCCTGGAAAATAGCCCTTACCTTTTGGGGACACCTATTTTTGCTTTGACATGAGCAAGAAATAAAATTCTATTGATTTGGGGGCCATTGTAAGTGTTGAGGTTCTGCTTGTCTCGAGAGTGTTACCTTCACTAATCCAGAGACATCTGACAGCTGGAGGTTCTGAATTACTGGTATCATTTCCATGTCCTGCATGTTAAAGAGCTAATAGAATACGTGTTCAGTAGTTTTGTGTTTTGGTACCCCTTCTGACCAAAGTTTTCTGGACACATATTAGTTTCCTCTGTCTAACCATCAAAATGTTAGAGGATAGAAAAGACTTCTGCTGAGACGGCCTCTTAATAGCGATTAGAAAAATAGGCAAATAAAAGATAACCTATTCCATCACCTAAAGAAAATCATGGTAAGTTTAGCTTCATTTCTCTTTTTTTTAAAGTAATGTTTTGTGTGTCTGTGATCCTTCATAATTTACAAAGCACTTGTCCATGTAAGATATATCACTCGATTCTGCCAACAATCCTCGTGGTAAGAAAGCAAGAATGAATTGCCCCATTTTACAGGTGAGAAAATAAAGGCTTTGTGAAATTAAGTAATTTAAAGTTTGCGCCAAGAATAGCAGAGCCAGTACCTCAGTGCCACAAATTTAAAGTCCAAATCCTTTTCCCCTCTGAGGTCATAAAGGGCTGGATCTCGTTTGCTGCTGTATTTCCAGCACCAGCCTGGAACATGATAAGGGTCTGGGAAATGTAGATCTCATACCCCTTCCCCTGGTTTGGTCTCAATCACTTGCTGTCTTTGTGGCAGGAAGAAACCTCTTTTTCTTTACATCTAACAAGGGGCACTGACAGCAGACCTGAGAGCTGAGTCAATTAAGTTCATGTTAGAATGTGAAAAGTGGAGTGGTGCACATTCTGCTGATTAAAAAGAGTATTTTTTTTTTTGGATTTAATGAGATTTAAACATTTTTCATGGTTTTCCAGGGAATTCAACACTCCTTTGGAGTGGTAACATATGTTTTAAGCCACATAATGACAATGCACACAGTGTTGTTAAGCATTAAATGAAAGAAAAAATATCCACTATCATTTTTGCACATTTAAATATAGGATGGTGTAAAACAGGGCAAAATGCACTCAGATTTTCTGGGGGGGCAAAATGTTCCTATTAACGAAATGCCAAATCATAAGTAGACCAACGGGCTCTGTTTTATTCACTTTTTGGAGCCTTGTTTACACTTACTGAGGTGGCTGTTGAGGTAAAACAGAAGAGCTTTTGATTTTACCAGTTGAAAGAACTTTTCCAGAAGTCACAAAAAGATTAAATGCTGGGCCCCACATAACTATTTCAGAAATGGTATTTTTGTAGCTATGTATAAATAAAGCCATTTCCAAAGCAGAGGTCTCTGTAGGAAACTTCAGACCAGGCTTTCCATTATTAAGTATGTCTATGAGCTGAAAAGTTTCCTAGATCCAAACCTGGCCTGTCTAGTTATTTTTGGACACCGTGGAGTCTCCAACTTGCAAGGGAATGTCTGCAGCGTTCATTCTGCTGGGTCACAGGCAGCTGTAACACATCCCAGAGACGATCCTCCGAGGAGCGGGGAGCCGGCACAGCCTGACCACTTGGGGCACATCTTGTAGAGGAAGAACCCAAACAGTCACAAAATCCACTCTTGAGTGATCTGGAGCTTGTCTGAAAATTTAATAGCTAGAGTTGGAGGTAACTCAGTCCACCGCCATGGGAGAGTCTGGGGTTCTGAAGGTGGTGGCTGGGAGCTTGGAGTTTATGGCAAATGTTTTTTTAACTGGGACATCTCTCAAACTGGTTTGTGAAGAAACCTTTCACGGTAGAGCTAATCTAGTTTGCTGATCAGCTCAACTGTAAAAACTGAATGTTCTGCTCTGGTTTTAGATCAGCTTAACTGATG